GCATCACATTATCTCAAATGCATTGATTTTCTTCCTATCATCTTTCTTTTCTGTCCAGCTCTCACATCCATACATGGCAATAGGGAATACAATGGCTTGTATGCTTCTAACTTTTGTGCTGAGTTGTATATCTTTGCATTTTAGGATCTTTTCCAGTTCTTTCATAGCCACCCTCCCCATTCTTAGTCTTCTTCTGATTTCCTGGCTGCAGTCCCCATTTCTATCAATGTTTGATCCCAGGCATGAGAACTCTTTTACAATTTCTATTTTATCCCCAGTCACATGGTGCAGTTGGAGTCCCAACAGTTGGAGTTGGAGGTATGAGAATCCTTTGACCATTTCTCTTTCTTCATTGTCTAGGGTTGAACTTGCGAAGGTCCTGGGGTGTCCATCACTGGGCCAGCCCCGCCCCCAGCCCAATCAGAAGCCTGGGAAGCCCTGATTGATGGGCTGGACCAGGAGTCCCTCCCAGCAGGCTGGGTCTCCCCAGTTGAGTCCCGGAGTGAGTTGGGGTGCCTTGCCTTTGCCTTGCGCTCTTTCTTGCCTGGCTTTGGGAGGGCAGAGGAGGAAGCAGAAAAGGGGCATCGGACCAGCCCTGGCAAAGGAAAGGAAAGGAAAGGAAAGGAAAGGAAAGGAAAGGAAAGGAAAGGAAAGGAAAGGAAAGGAAAGGAAAGGAAAGGAAAGGAAAGGAAAGGAAAGGAAAGGAGGATGCCGAAGGCGTGAGAGCCCAGGAGGAGGCTGGGACTCGGGCTCTTCTCTGGTTCTTGGAGGCAACTTTGTATTTTTGGAGGAAAAGTTGCAACCTCCGGAGTGGCCATCTGACAGATCTCTGGAGAGAGAGAGGTAAGGGAATCTTCTCTAACACTGCAAAGGAGGAGGACCCTGCCAGCAAAACACGGAGGACCTTACAAAACAAAAGCTGAAATCGCTCCTAGGAATGTCAGTGCGTGGCTCTTTAGTCCCTGCTGGAAAGGGAGGACTTTTTTTGGGGGGGAGGGGGAATTCCTTCTGGAGAGGAGGTTGAAATGGACTGCAAAAGGAGGACCTCTGGTCACCTTGGGGTAGGTAAAAGGTTGAAATGGAGGACCTGTCCTGGAAGAGGAGGACCTCTGGTCACCTTTGGGTGGGAGGTTGAAATGGAGGACCTGTCCCGGAAAAGGAGGACCTCTGGTCACCTTTGGGTGGAAGGTTGAAATGGAGGACCTTCCCTGGAAAAGGAGGACCTCTGATCACTTTTGGGGGGAAGGTTGAAATGGAGGACCTGTCCTGGAAAGGGAGGACCTCTGGTCACCCTGGGACAGAAGGTTGAAATGGAGGACCTGTCTTGGAAAAGGAGGACCTCTGGTCACTTTTGGGTGGAAGGTTGAAATGGAGGACCTGTCCTGGAAAGGGAGGACCTCTGGTCACCTTTGGGTGGAAGGTTGAAATGGAGGACCTTCCCTGGAAAAGGAGGACCTCTGATCACTTTTGGGGGGAAGGTTGAAATGGAGCACCCGTCCTGGAAAAGGAGGACCTCTGGTCACCTTGGCTGCGACCTTTCTCTCTGTGTGTGGGCCAAATCACTCAGGATCCCTTGGGTGGGTGCTCTGAAGGGATCTCCCCACTTGGCAGAGGGAAGGAATCACTTGCCTGGCTTTGCCTTGTGTTTCTTTTGCTATGGAGAGAGGAGGTCTTCTCTGGCCTTGGGACTCTCCCTCTTCCCCCCCCTTCCTCCCATGTAGAAATAATGCCCTTTGTTGTTGTTATTTGTGGCTGTTGTGTGCCTTCAAGATGTTTCCGACTTCTGGTGAGCCTATCATCAAGTTTTCTTGACAGGTTTCTTCAGAGGGGGTTTGCCACTGCCATCCTCTGAGGCTGAGAGCGTGTGACTAGCCCAAGGTCACCCAGTGGGTTTCCATAGCCGAGCCAGGATTCGAACCCTGATCTCCAGAGCCAGAGCCCAAAGCTCAAACCACTGTGCTCACACCACTTTAACTGTCATGACTCCATGGGATTCATGAGGCACTTTGCTTTGGCAGCGAAGGCGAAAGACCTTGCAAAGTATAACCTTTTGTAGACTTGGTCTACTTCCTTAGATGCACATCCCAGGATTTGTTGGGATGGAGCCACAGCACTTAAAAGGGTGTCAAACTGCATTATTTGTACAGTGCAAATAGCTGTATTAGTCTAGAAAACCAGTGTGCAAAAAAGGGATCTTGCATCACCTTTGAGACGAACTGAAAGCGAGAAGAAAGCGGGAGCTTTCCTAGACTTGAGCCTAAGCTGAAGTGATGGATTGGGGCTGTGGGTGCAGGCATTGTTTTGGGGTGGGATGACCATCCATGGGGCTCTGGGGCAGGGCAACTGGGTCTACACTTTCTTCCCTCTCCGTCTTCTCAGCAATTAGGTTAAAAAGCAGCATAGGTAGGACAGGAGATGCTATCTGCTTTGCTGGAGGGCAGGAATGGTCGAGTAACTGATCTTCCAGAAAAACTCCAGGCCTCCTCCCTGGGGCGCCTCTTTTGACAGATCACTTGAGAGGAAGACAATTCCAGGCAGGCAACATGCTCTCAGCCTCAGGGGAAGGCAACACCAAACCCCTTTGAACGGATCTTGCCAAGAAAACTCCGTGGTAGGATCGCCTTAGAGTTGCCATAAGTTGAAAATGACTTGAAGGCACACACACAACAACATGCAAAAGTTCGGGAGTCAGTGGCTTGTCTTGCTTGATGCCCAGCAAGTTGGAAAATTCAAGGCGAACCTCTTTGGGGAGTGGGTAACCCAAGAGAAAATCCTGAAGTCATCCTTCTTTTACCCTCACTTTATTTTAATTACATTTATTTTTTATTTATATGATTTATATCCCACCTTTCTCCCAAAATGGGTAGAATTCCAAGGCACAGTCCTGTTAGTCTGGAAATATTTTATTTGCATTCAAGTACAGGCAGATGAGGGGCATTTGAGATACCCAAGGAAATAAGACAGAAAGCAGCAGTCTATTTAACTCATTGTTTTGCCTCTGTTGTTGCTGTTATTATTATTGTTGTGTGGCTTCAAGTTGTTTCAGACTTATGGCGACCATACAGTAACCCTATGGGGCTTCCTTGGCAAGATTTGTTCAGAGGAAGTTTGCCATTGCTGTCCCCTGAGGTTGAGAGAGTGTGACTTGCCCAAGACTTGCCCTAGAGTTTCCATGGCTGAGCTGGGAATCAAACCCTGGTCTCCAGAGTTGTAGTCAAACACTCAAACCACTATGCCACGCTGGCTCCCAATATATCAGTATGCAGAGGAATCTTGCATCTAAGGAAGTAGACCAAGTCTACATTATGCTACAGCTTCTTTTGCACAGTTAGTCTCAAAGGTGCTACAAGATCCCTTGGCATACTGATATTTTAATTGCAGCCTTTTTTACCCTGCCCCTCAGCCAAAAAGGGTAGAGCATTTTGTTGTTGTTCTTGTTGCGTGCCTTCAAGCCATTTCTGACTTATGGCGACCTTAAGGCAAACCTATCATGAGGTTTTCTTGGCAGAATTTGTTCAGAGAGGGCTTTGCCCTCTGAGGCTGAGAGTGCATGACACGCCTATGGTCACCCAGTGGGTTTTCATGGATGTGCAGGGATTTGAACCCTGGTCTCCCTGTCTTTCAGACCAACACTCAAGCCACTACACCATACTGGTTCTGGGCTTGCAAATAGTTAATTTGACAGTTCCCTGGATCAGTTCCAGCATAACATGCTGTGACAGATTTCTTCAGTGGGCATGCAAACCAAATGGTGCAGCAGGAAGCAACCTGTTTACATCAGGACTACTGATTTCTGTTGGACTTTAAATGGCGGTAAAATAAATCGTGTGTCCCCCCCCATAGACATTTACTCAGTTTGGCTTGCCTTGAAGTAATTGGGCATAAACTTAAGTTGGCTCTTTGGTGAGCAGAATTATCTTTGAATCCTAGATTTGGGCAAGCAGTTATATTGTCCTCTCCGTGTTGTTTACTATTACACAACTCCTACTATTACGCTCTTGAATTCTTGGCAATGATTAAAGGTTTGATTTGTAAGGCATCTGAACTATGTCACTCTTACTATGTTTAGATTTTGATAAATGCCTTTTAAGCTTCAGGGACCATAGTCTCACTCAACAGTAGTCCCTTCAATAGCTTGAAAGTTGCTAGGCAAGTGCTTACAATTCGGCAACTGGAGTGGCTTGGTCAGAATCGTGCTTTTTTCTTTTATTCCTGAAAAACCTCTCAGTGTTAGGTGAATTTTATTCATGCTATAGGCTTCCCTTGTGACCTCAAGAAGTTTACTTTCTGAGCAATTTTATGGGTGCATGTCCAGAATAAATTAGTTTTACCTGCCTCATACTATAAAAGAGTTCTGCTTGGATGAAAGCAGGAAACCTACTTATGCGGGAGTGCATTTAGCTGAATTCAGTGTGACCTACGGTACTTTCAAGTAAACTTGCAAAGGATTGTAAAGTTGTTTTTATGTGTCTTCACATTGAATTTGACATCTGGCGACCCTGTCATATAGGGTTTTCCTGGCAAGATTTATTGAGATTTATTGATGGTTGGTGTTGCCTTCTTGTAAAGCTGAGAGAGTGTGACTTGCCCAAGGTCACCCAGTGGGTTTCCATGGCTGAGCGGGAATTGGAATCCCAGTTTCCTGGAGTCCTAGTCCCACTTCAAAACATTACACCACCCTTGTTCTCACTTTATAGTTAGAGAAGTGTGTTTTGGAAATGCTGGAAGCAATATAAGGAAGGAGTTCATTGACTTTTAAGTTCACATTGTAAAGAAGGCTGTGCATGTACGGTAACTTCTCAGTGTGTGGAAAACAGCTGCAATTATATGTGCATAGTCTTCAGAATAAACCCCATTAAACACAGGGGAAGTTACTTCTAAGTAATCAAGCATATATTTGGATTACAAGCCCATGATATTCCAGGCTGGTGAGAGCAACTTTGCTTTATGAATTTCTGGGTGAAGATTGCGTTCTGTGGTTTTGTGGTTGGGACTGAATTGGATCGAATAGCAATCACTGTAGTATGTGTTTTGGACAAGATATGGTTCCAAATGATATTGTTCTGGTTACTACTGTTTCATTCTTGTGAAGTTGCTAAACTCGATAGAAACTAATTTTGACGCTTCTGAACTGCTTGAATGTATGTTAATAGAGTTTGGATGGAAATAATGCAAATTGTATTGTTGTCGTCTGACTTTATTTGGAATTTGTTTGGGAGGACTCTTGTATCAATATTTCAGCTATTAGCATTATCTTTTTTTCCTGTTGCATGCATTTACCTCAGGTTTACTAAACAATAAGTACATATTTGACAGTTAAGCTTAAACCTCCATGCATTTTAGTTACATTAATTAATGTTGTTGTTTTTCTGAATAGGGATCTTGTGCTATTACCACCCAACACCACCCAGCCTAGAATAAGAAGAACCCTTACTTCTTAAAGGATGGGTGGGATTCGGGATTTTATGTTTTGTTTAATGGAAATTGTAATGTTGTAAGCCGCCCCGATTGCTCTGCAGAGGGGCGGGATATTAATAAAAATTAATTATTATTATTATTATTATTATTATTATTATTATTATTATTATTATTATTAAATATTCTGGAAAGGGGGCTTGCCCTACCATGTGGGTGATACTTGCCCTGTAGCTATCAAAGGTTTAGAAGCCTTCCTTGGATAAAAGTTGACAGTTTTGAATTGTATTGTTTTAACTGGAAGAGTTCTACAGATACCATGGCTGCTAAGAAGGAAAATGAATGGGTGCTAGACCAAGGGGTTATTCACACTGTGAAAATAACCCAGGATGAATCCAGGTTGAATCTCCATTGTTCACACACATTCCGAATGCATGCAATTGAGTTTTTTTTTGTGGGGAGGGGCCACTTAATCCAAGATAACTGATACTGGGTTTTTCCTTTGAGTTTTTAAAAAAGATCTGCATCATTGATAGTGTGAATATCCAATGCAAATAGACCCAAATAGACCCGGGATAAAACATTGCATGCCTTGAACATGTTCTGAATGCATTCACATCATTGACTCCATCTTTATTTGAATGTTTGCATGTGTGAGCAACCAAACTCCCAGAGATGTGCATCTATGTGGTTCCAAAGTGTGAATAACAAATCTGGAATGCATGAGTGAGATGATTCACATTGTTGCGGTAAAAAAAAAAGATGTCTGAATCAACATTAAATTAACTTTAAAAAAATCATACACATGATTTAATATATTTTTAAGGGGGAGTTATATGTCTGTTATAATTGTATGGGATTGTATTTTAATTGTAAGCTGCCTTGATAGCCTCTGCTAAATGTGGGATATAAATAAAATTTTATTATTATATTATTATTATGTCTGAATGACCCCAAAATCTAGCCTGAACCCTCACTAGAGGTAAAGATGACTAAACTGAGATAATGTGCTTTGGACATATCATGACATATATGATATTTCATTATATGTCCTGATATTTCATGATATGCCATTGAAAAAAGGGATAATGCCTGGCAAAACCGGTGGCAGTAGAAGAAATCTCTTATTCATGAGGTTGCCAGAAGTTAAAGCTGACTTGATGGCAAATAACAACAACAGAACTGAATCTCCTTCTGGAGATAGAGTCTAATTCATGTGTAAGTCCCATTAAATTTTGTGGGACCTAAATTTGAACAAATACAAACACAATGAGGTTGTGAAGGTTCTTCTGGAAAATAGTGGTTAGGTTGGGTTTTTGCAATGCTGAAGATGTTTTCCAGCAGTTCTTATTAAGTTATGTGGGGGACTGGTATTTTTTTTTTCACAATATGCCAGAGACCAGTACCATATTTGTGCCATATTATTACCAGGTGTTTCTTTACCAGAAATTTGGGAGGGATCTAGCTAGTGGGTCATGCACCAACACTTTGAGTAGCACTGTTCTGTAGCATACAAATGCAGATTCTGCTCTGTATAGGTGAAGCAATTAAGTAC